TTATTTCATAGAGGGGTTATTCTTCTTGCTTGGAGGCCCTGTAGCAAATTCTTGTAAGGAACTATTTACAATCTTCTCCCATTGCTTCATGTTTTACATTTGATTGCAACCAACAGCATCTCACAGAGCTTGTTTTTTTCTAAAGTGTCAAGGAAGATAAATCCCCAAATGAGATACAAAGGCACAAGCCTATCCTGTGCAGTCAAGCATGTTGTTATTTCACCTAATTTTGTTGAGGAAACTCCACAACAACAGATTTGCAGTTTTTGCAGGTCGTGTGGCATGAACGTGTGCTGCCTTTGCCTGCTGCCCTGAGTGACTGGCACGAGTCTTTTGTTCACGCAAAGAAGAAACAAGTATTCCCCCTCCTCTCCAGCTTTTACATTTCCTAACGTGCTCCTTGGACAGCCAGAATTATTATTGTAGTGGTTTTATGTTGCAAGAGTCCAAGTTCTTTGGCTGACAAATGCATAGACAAATCATCTGTCCTGGTTTGGTCCTCCCATAACTTCCGCATAACAGAAGGAAAAGGAATGATCCCTTCACAGCTGCCCCACTGTCTGCATTTCAGTCTGGGCCAAGATAAGGGTACTCTGCTGGGAAGAGATCTGAGGTTCACAATCTGGAGTTTTTCTTCTGAAGTTCAATAACTTCAGAAAAAAATGAGTTCATGTGTGAAGTATGACTGCTGCTTTTTTTCTTTCTTTCTTTTTTTTCTTTTTCCTGAAGTGTCCCCGCTCAGCCTCTCCCAACAGTTCTGATCTGCAACAAACCCACTCAGAATCCCAACAGGAGCTAGTTCTGACTGGTGGGGACAGCGGGGCTGCCAAAATGCGATTTTAGCAGAGGAAGTGACACATCTGGACTGAATTCCTCTGCTTGACATTTAAGAGCAGATATTGGTGGTTTGGCTGGGGTTGTTGTTTTGGACAAGACTTAGGTCCATGGGGGTGTCCTAATGCAGCCCAGTGCACTGCTTGCCCTCTCAAGGAGATTTTGGGAGAAGGCAACAGCTTTGTTTTTTCCCTAGGTCAGTTCCTGCCTTGTCAAATACAAAGGCTCCATGCATGGGGAACTCTGGCAGAGAGGAGGAAAGAAAGACAGTTCTTGCTCTAGCTAAAGATTAACCTTGCTGACTAATTGAATGTTGGCAATGAAAAATGTTAAAACAAATACACCAAAAAAAGAGGCTGTATTTTTTCCCTCCATCTGCTGATGAAGGGCTGCCTTGCCACCTATCTAGGCCCAGCACCTTTGGATATTAAGTAAACCCAGCCTTTTTCTCTGATACAGTAATAAAGAAATTAATTCAGTCGTATTAGAGAAATTTACAACCTAAAGGAAGCTAGTAGCAGCTTTGAGAGTGTCCTTCAAGTTATACTTCACACCCACCCAGAACACGGAGATAACCATGTTTGCTATCACTTTGTGAGTATAACTTTCTGGATGACTAAAGAGGTAAGTAATGAAATGCAACTATTGCCATATTTCTGATTTCTCCTGTATTTATTCACCTTCCTGTAAAAGAGCTGTGGGTCTGCAATCTCCCCCATCGAAAAAGCAGGGGAAGATTTCCTGCCAGGGAATGCCTGGCTAGTGGGTCTGGCAGCTCTGCTGCAGCTGGGGGGTTCTTGGGGCATGGACTGCCTCTGCCAGGAGATTTCAGTTTCAGTGATAGACCAGATTGGTTTGGGAAGTCCTGGTTTAACATCTGTACTGTTGTCTCTACCTCTGGAACACCGGTGCTCGCATAGTGGGGAAATGAAACAGTGAAGAGGCAGGCTGTTGTGAGAAGTTTGTTTATTGAGTTGTCTGTGGGGCAGCCAGAGTCAGCTGCAGTCAGCATCTCGAGAGCCTGCATCGGAGAGCAGCACAGCTATGGAGGTGAAAGATGAGGGTATCACAGCGATCATCATGCCCTTGTGGGCAGCACTGGGGTGATTATACTCCTGGGCTGCAGGGTACGTTGCCACTGGAGGTCAAAATGGTATCAAATCTTGACACCCCCCAAACTCAGTGCAAGGTCTCTCATCCCTAGCAGATCTGACTTGCAGTGATGCCTCATTCCCAGAAACAACAAAGGAAAAAGAGGCAACAGTGGGGGAAGGAGGAAAGGGATGCTGTTGGAAACTGCTGGCCTTTTAAGACCTCTTATAAAGTCTCTTTATTATTGCAAAGATGAGCTTGCTATAAACTCCCAAATGGACAGACGGCAGCTGAGATCCGATAGAACGGGGCCTAAGACAGTTTTCTATTATCTGGAAGATTTCTGTCTTAATAGAAGCTTTCAGAGCCAGCACGAGTGTTGAGCTGTAAAATTATGCCCCTGTAGGAACAGTGTGTTCTGATGGAAAAGGCAAATAAATTGTTTTGTGACTTGATATTGGACACACAGTATTGCTCTGCTGGTTCTGAAGTCAGAAAGACTCCATCACAGATAGTGAGCCTTAATATCTTCTGTGGCAAAAATAAAAATCACTTTCTGTTCTCACTAAGAAAATACTTTGCCCCTATGGGGTAATTCCTGTTAAAGTTGGCTGCTCTGTCCATCTTGCAGAAAGTTTTCTTCTCCTCTGCAGCACAGAGCAGCAACCCTTTCTACTCTTGTACACACATTTTTCTTAAATTTTTCTTCTCACAGTCTCTACTATCTCAGCCTGTGACTGTGAAATTAATGTTTACATAATTCAAACCATTTAAAACTAACCAAAGCAAACCGTCACCTTCCAGTTTGGGCTGAAATGGAGAGCAGTCCATGCACCAGTACACACACATGTACACCCACCTGCCTGTCACACAGCAGGATTAAATGCCAGCAGCCCATAATTTCTGGTTAGCCAAGGCTTCTCCACCCCAGTGTTCTATGCCTTGCAATTTCAGTGGTTGGCCAGGCCTCTCTGCATGCAGAGAATGGTTGTGTAGGCCTATAGTCAACAAAACAGATCGTGTACTTGGTCTTGCCACTACTTTATTTATCTTACTACTTGCTTTACTCACCAGTTCTGGGTGGTGTCTCTTTCTGGGACGCCAGCCACAGCTTCCATTATTGGCTGCACCCTTTATCATAATTCTGCATTACTTCCTTTTCTGCCAATGGCAATCACATAAGTGCAATGGATTATTTACCTCCTTTCAGTTTAAATATGATCTATGCATTTCAGCTCAGCATAATAGCCTTTACATTAACAGTGCATTTCTGTTTTAGGATTTTAATTGGATGCATGTTCCAATAATTCACACAACAATATTTATTTTTTCTGCCAAAAAACTTAATTCAATAAAGAGCCTGCCTTCATAGTTTACAGGTTTCTAAAGAGAAAGAATCTAATGAATTTTTAGTGCTAGGCTTTTTTTCCTCTTTCTTTAATCTGCAGTCAAGGAAATGTAATTACTTTTCACCTTGTCTTCTGTTTGCTTTTTGCATTCCACTTCTCCTGTACTTGGGTATGAATCATGCTGTACTTGGAATCATGGAAGAACAGGCATGGGTGTGCTGCTGGTTCTCTGTTGGGTCTATACTTTCAGTGCAGACACTCAGCTGCTATAAATCAGCAAAGGAGTCAATGAAGCCAACTTGGTTTAGACAAGCAAGGGATGTGACCCTCGGTCTTCAGCAAGAGAAGGTCCTTAGCCCTACTGCTTTGAAAATCCTAATTTAAAACAAAACAAAAGAATACATGGCTGTCAATCAAGCACATACTGTTCCTTCTCCTGGTGAGGGTTTGCTCTTGTGGGTTTTTTCCTCCTCCTAGGAATGCAGTTGATAGAATTCAGATAAAAACCCAGTGCCTAAGAAAGACCCTTCAGCAAAATGTTTGTCCAGCACTGTTAGAACTTGCCCCTGGATAATGACTTAGATCCACCTTTATCTTTCTCTCGCAACTCTCACACAATTAAGCAGCCAGTTCACTGAAACTTACTGATGATTATCAGTCTGAATCTGCTCCTACTGACAATAAATTTTACACTGGTGGAACAGAGTGGGCTTTGGCCCATCTCTTGCAGGTTACCTGCCTATACTCAGTGCTTCTTTTGAAACCTCATGCTCTATCAGTGAAGCAATAACTGTGTAGGCTCAGCTGAGCTTTCCCTTGAACCTGGTCTCTAATTAACCACTGCTTTAATTTCTTATCAGCAGATTAGCTTACTGCAGAAACATTTGGCATTTCCATAGCTTGTCAAGTCACATAGGAACGCGGCTTCTGTCATCTTGCTACAACCTTGGTGTTACACAACGTATCAGCTGAAGTCTTAGAAGTTTTCCAGACCTTTTAATCTTCACTTCTTGCTTCCTATTGATCCTTTTAAATAGATGTTATTCCACCCACAGGCATTTTGCCCCATGGGGATCTAAAGCAAGCTGGGATGAGTAAAGACCCATTTCATACACTGAGGAAAACATAAGAAAGATTAGGGTCTAACTATAAGCCTCTATTTAGGAAGGCAGTAAAGCTTGCACTTAATCCATTCCTGTCGTAATAACTGGTGTTACGAGAGCTATAGAAACCACAGCCTTATTTGTACTAGATGTTGTACAAATGTATAATGAAGAGGAAGTGTTAAGTTCTGAAAGACTGCCTAGAACTGTAAGAATAAAGTCAACAGGGAGAGCCAAGCAACAGACAGGCAGATGGGAAACATGACAAAACTTCTGTCTACGGAGGAATTCACTGGTCGAAACAAATTACCTGATGAACGGTGCTGTGATTTCTGTGGGTATTGTGGCACATCCTCACCCCAGAGCACATGTCTAAGTCTAATTAAAGAAATTAATGTCTAGCATGTGCTTCAGTGCTTTGCTGAATCAGATTCATATAGTACTGCCACCAGCCATGTTAACACTGGATGGAGATGAGCTAATGTGTCTGGTATCAGTGAAATTCCTTAGTGTCTCCCAAATGGAGTACGTTGTGTCCAGCCAGAAGAACTGAAGCCCCTTTCTGTACTGTGATTTTCAACTCTGATTAAACCATCTCAGCATACATTCCCGAACCCACTGATGTAATTGATTCCTTCCAGAGAAAACACTGTGTAGAGCAACACTGCCAGGAAATGGGAGTCCTCGCATTTGGAGCCAGTGTTTGTTGTAAATATCCTGACTGACGTCTTTTGTGTGGTAGCTTGAGAAGAAGCTTGTTTTGTCACCCTTTTCAACTGCACTGTTGTTCAAGTCTGGAAAGAAACCGGGATCTCATCTGTGGAGAAGAAAAATCCATTTTAGAAAAAGAGAAGAAATACAGTAAGGGCAAAAGCAGCCTGGAAATGGGTATGCAGTGAGAAAGTACATTTCCTGGAGGTCTTGTCAAAATAATCTTTATCAACAAAGGACTATTAAGTGCTATGAGATTTGAGCTTTTCTTTACTGTTATTGTAGGTTCAGTGAGTCAATATTCATTTCCCAAAAGTGATGCTCTCCCTGACCTATGGTTGCAACGTGACCCTCTGCCCCTTGCTTCAAACAAATTCAGCAGCCTTGCAGTGCTCTGGAAGCAGCCAGCTCACCTAACTCTGAGGCATTTCCCAGAAGCAGCAAAATTCAAGGGGAGTTTTGCAACTAACCTGAGTGTTTGTGCTAGGCACTCTACCACAGCCACAGCACAGCCTGGAGAGCCCTTCTGCTGGAATCAACAAGCCCCTTGTCTCTGTAAGTACTGCAGATGCGCAAAGCCCCTTTATGAATTAAGAAGCAAAGATACATTAAAAAAAAAACAAAACAAAAAAAAACAAAAACACAACAAAGAAAGAAAGAAACCAATTTGTTCACATGCTAATAGTATTAAATGTCATTATATTGTTAAGCATCACAGTTACTGAGCTTGGACCAGAGCTCTCACCAGCTGAAGCCAGCTAGTGACTGCAGGCACTGGGCAGTGACTGCCTACTGACTAGGCATGTGGGCAGGCCAGCACCAACTGGAAGTGCACTTACAACCCTTTGCCACCTTGTTTTCTTCCTGATGTATCTGAGAGTTACATCTACATTTCAGATGACAAGGAATGAAAAAACCTACCTTCTGCAACCTGCTGGCAACATAAATGTACCTGTGTTGCCTAGAGAGACAGAAGTGACGGGGATGTGGAACATATGCAGGATGGAGGACTCTACTCTCTGGACTCCCTCCATGGTGTTTTACAGATTTTGCCATGCCCATGGATGGTGGGTCATGGTGTGGCAGAGAATGATGCTGTCACACAGCTGGGTGAAGCTAAGGGGCTGCTCCTTTGTGTGTTAATATGAAAAAGCCCTTTTGCAGGAAGACATAAATGAGGAGGGACTGCAAAGCCAATGAAAAGTATTGTTTTTTGGTGGGCTTGCATTGTTTTTATATTCTACCAGGTGTCTCATTAAAAATGCATTAAAATGAGACAATTAGCTGCTACTGAGAATTTACTATGCTGTTGCATCAAAGTACTTTGGACTACTTCACAAATACTGAGCTGAGTGATTGTATCTATCTCTACTGTATGCCACAATGGCAATGGACAAAGTTGAGGGTCCTCCGAAGATATAGTCTGTAACGAGGTAAGGAAATGAGTGTTTAAGTAGTCTAATTATAAACAGCATACATAAACTAATGTGATTAGCAGTGGCTTGAATGGCTTTTTTATTATTATTTGCCACTTGCTTCCATTCAGTTTCCTTTTTTTCCAGGAAATGGGAGTCCTCGCAGTTTCCATTCAGTTTGGTTGCAGCATAGGTACCCTAATAATCAAATAAGAAAAAGCAGAAGCAATATCCATTCAAAAAAAACCAAAACAACAACAACAACAAAAAAAAACAAAACAGTTCAAAAGCCCTTGTGCTTCTTAAAAATGGAAAGTGTCATCCAGAAACCACCTGACAGTTGAAGCTTCTTCCATAGGTCTCCTCTGGCCTTGTTTCTTCTCTTATTTCTGGAGCAGAACTCGGGTCTCAGCTGCTCTCAGATCCAAAAGTATCAAGACCAGCTTTTCCAGGTCAAACCTACCATGCACGACAGCCAGACCCAGTGTGTGTTGCACTCACACCATGGATGATGCCCTCCTTGGGCACACGTGTGCTGGATTCCTGCAGGCAGAGCCACCAATGCAGAGTGCAGGACCTTTACCTCTCCCTGCTCTGAGCAGTGATGTACCACTTTTGCACATCTGCAGCATGATACTGCTGCTTCTGCCTCCGCAGCTCCCTGCTGCTGGGTGTGGGTTTGCACCCCAGGAAAGGAGAGAAAGAAATAAGAAGAGCAGTACTGCAGGTGAGTGGCAGGAGAGGATTTCTGATTAACTTTTTCACAGACTTTATTTGAGAGTTGATTTGAGAACGTATCGGTTCCAGTTTTCATAACAACGCGTTTTTCCTCGACAAGTGCTGATTTCATTTTATATAGTTGTCTAAATAGTTATCACATCTCTAATGCTGCTAGCCAGAAACGACTCCCTGGTGTGCCAGATCCAGACCTTCCAGTAATTTGTGTATGTAAATTCAGATTATTATCAGGTTCACACGTAACAAAATGAAAGAGCATATACAAATTATCTGCATAGAAATCTCCATAAGATATTCACATGTGGAAAATTAATGTTTCTTGCTTGTATAAATGTCTGAACATGCAAGATCTATCAATCAATCTCTCGTGTACCCACACAGCTCAGAAGCATGCGGCAGTGAGTCCTAACATCATCTTCCAGTAGTTCATAAAATGTGATTGCTGACAGAAGCTGATCAGAATTGAGAACTGAGAACTGTTATGACCAGTTCTTTGCCACTGTGAGTCTAAAATGTCCTTTCTTTTTTTTCTTTTTTTTTCCTTTTTTTTCCTGCTATGAATTTTATTTCTATAACAGTCAACTTAACTATAGAGATCTGGGAATTAGCAGCCAAGGACTGTTCAGCGCTGCATGATGCTTAATGCAATTAGCAGAGTTAATAAAATGTTGGACAGGTGCCTCATACCAGGGGAAAAAAGGCGTTGTTCTCACTTGCTTAGGATCAAACAGTTACATTACCTTATTTCCTTTAAGAAAGCATTCTTAAAATGGAATGAAATGAAGAACAAAATCACTGACCCGTTACTGGCTGAATTCAGCTTCCTTGTTTTCTACTTCCAGGGTAAGATCTTCAGAAAACAATATGAAAATGTTTGCAGAGGGGCACACATGCAAAAGGTGTGCCAAAAGAGACAAAGCCTGGAGACAGTTACCCTGGAATATCTGAGGAATTAGTTGAAGTCAGCTCTGACTGCAACAGAAGTCAGAGCAGAACAAATTTACTGTTCCTCCTCCTTTTGACAAAGCTCATCTTCGGAAGCCATACATTCAATAGCTTAACATCTGGAAAGATGTTAGAAAATGAGTCAGTGGGAGACAGATGAAAAATGCTGATGTGTAGAACTGCAGGGAGAAGGTCTTCATGCTCCTGCTGGAAGGTCCATGAAGTGTAAGAAAAACAAGGACATTGTCAGTAAGGTAAGCATGCTAATCTACTCATACGATTCTGTGAAAGTCATTTGAGGTCCACAGTTGTCATGCTGGTGCTGCTGGTGAACATAACATGGGAGAGTGACTTACTGAAGGCCTGGGCTGGGAAGCTGGCCTTTGCTCACAGGACTGTAGCCACCCTGGGCTAAGAGATTTCCCTAATCCCACTTATCTGTAGTATTTACACTCCTCACAGCACCCAAGTGTCAGCAGGTATAAGGGCAGCCACGTTTCAGCTTTGAGTCATCAGGGGAAGCAGTCAGGTCCAGGGCCTGTAGGGACTGGAAATCGTAACCTGGGGTTGGCTGCGCGTGCTCTGCAGGATGATTTGGTGGGCTTGATCCATTTTCCTCACATACACACATAAAACACCCACACATCTGGCTTGTATTAGCGTGCCCTCATTGGCAATTGCTCTAAAGACAAACTCATCTGGGAAGAACTGGAGTGTCTGAACCAGCTGCAGCTTACCCAGCCTGTGTAGAGCACAGGTAGAGCGAGGGAGCAGCAGAGGACCTGTGCTGTCATGCTCAGCCAGCTCTGGGCATCCTAGCGGCCAACCTGACAAGATGCCATGCTTCCAGAGAATAGCATTTCCTGAGCATCTGCAATAACCTTTTGTTTGTAAATCTGAAATGCCATGCCCTCTTTTTCTACGCCTAGCCCAGTCATTTTGCTTTTCCAAGGACATATACTTTCAGAAATAAATAAATGAACACCATCCTTTATTTTCACTATTTGGGAGCCAAAGGCATCTGCCAAAGTCACAGCTCTCTAATCGTGGGGTTTGGGGAGCTGGAAACACAGGGCCTTTCCCATACACCGTGGGTCTGCAGGGAGGCAAGGACAGGGTTTGGCTGCAGTCTCTGCCTCGAGCAAGGAGGGGCTGCGCGAAAGGTGCACGGAGAGGGTTCTGATCAGCACAACTGCCAAAGCCAATTACCAAGAGGAGGACGCTATAATTATATCAGGGAACAGCTGTACTTCATTAGGAGCCCTCGCGGGGCGGCTCGATGCTCGGCCACGTACGCACGGCCGCTTTACGCCTTTCCTCGCCTTCCTTCTCTGCCCGAGCTCTGGCACGGCCCCGGGGCGCTGCAGCTGCCGGCGCTGTGCCGTGTCCCTGCAGCTGCACCTGCCCCGCGGGCCGCGCTCGCTCTGTCTCGCAGCCGGTCCCGTGCCGGACGCGGCGGGCAGGCGGCGCTCTGCGGCCCGGCTGCGCTGGGGCTCGGGGCGGTGCGGCGCGGGCTGCTCTTCCTCCTCCTCCTTCTTCTCCTCCTCCTCCTCTTCTACCGCCGCCGCCTCCTCCTCCGCGGATGCGGCGGATCGCGGGGCGGCTCTCGCCCGCAGCGGGCTCCCGTCGCCCCACCGCCCCCATGGACAGCAGCGGGGGCAGCAGCGGCCGCGCGTAGCTCGGTGAGTAGCCCCGCTCCCCGCCGCCCAATACCGCGCTGCCGCAGCTCCGCGTCCCCCTCCCGCACTCCTCTCGCCTTTCCTTCCCACCTAAAAACCCGGCGGTGCTCCGTGGGTGCTGGCGGTGGGGACCCGCCCGCCTCTGCCACCTGCTCCCGGCTCCCTCCGGGCACTGCGGAAGCGATTCCCCGCGGGCTGCTCCCGTACGGCTCTGGCGGCTCGCACCGTCCTGCCTCCCTCTGCTCGGAGTCCTGGGCTGGGCTCCCCGGCAGCTGTTCCAGGCTGGGACTTTAGCGCTGTCAGTCCGAGAGTTATTTGCTTTCGGCTAAATTTAATTTAAACTGACTCCGCGGTCGTAAGGGAAGCTCAGGGAAAAATGTCAGTTTGTGAATTGTTTTGCTTAGCTCGGATTTAAAGATCTCTTCCCGTATATCTGGTAAGGATTTATTTTCATAAAATGATTTTGCGGTGTTTTATTTGCTCTTGGAATTTAACAGTCCTCCTAGGCAAACCAGGTTTGGTGGAAGCTGAATTCATCAGCTCCGAGGCACAGGCAGTGCCCTTGGTCGTAACAGGTGCAGTGTGCATATTCTTATGAACAATGAAATGGTTTCAGCATTCAGGTTTATTTGTATGCAGTGCATTTCTGTGGCTCTGAAGAAATTGTCATGCTATGTTATGTCAAAGATGTGCTTACAGCAGGAGCGTGTCCGTAGCACCTAATTACCAGGGCATGAGAGCAGCTGCACTGCCCATCAGCACGGGCTTTGATAGCCAGGGTATTCCTGGGTGACACAGCGTAGCTTGGGGGATTTGGTGCTCTGTGTTGGTGCTGGCTCTCCGGGATGACCTGGTACAATGTGAAACACTAAGAGGTTAGGGGGAACAGAGAAGGGCGGAGGAGGAGCTGTGCCCAGGTTCTATTCTTTGGACCTGATGGTCCTGTAAGGCAGTTTCCTGCCCCTGAGATTTCCAGGCAGGAGGGTTGGTACACCTCGTGTTGTTGCTAAAACCTAAAATACTGATGTGTGTATTGCACAGAAGATATTTCTTGGACAGGTATTTCCTAGTTCAAAAGAATGTATTAGAGTAGATGTAACAGAGCCTGTATTTCAGAAGCTCTATTTGAGACCACAATCCAGAGTGACACCATGTCAGTAATTGATTTAATGGGAGTCATTCTGGACTTAGATCAGAAGGAAATTAGACTGGAAGTTTAATTGCTCTTTGTAAGCCAATAGGTCTATTCCAGCAAGCCTTGCCAGGCTCAGCCCCTGCTTTAACTGCTCTGTGGTGCAGCATCTCCTGTTGCTTTTGCACAGAGCGATGCTCCTTGCCACTGCTTTCCAGGAGTGCATTGTCCTTGCTTAGTTTATTATGGATGAGAGGAGTGGACTGCTTGGGATAAAGAAGGGTTGGGTAAAGGGGTGATATGTGGAGTGATTCACTTTTTTATCCTCAAGTTCTTTCTAAATTCCATGGAAGACATGGTAGAGCGAAGTATGAGTCAAAATCCTAGCCAGAGAAACATTGCTAGCAATGAAGGATCTGTTAGAGGAGTCCTCCTGGTTGATGCTACAGAACAAAGAGAAGGCACTGGAGATGTCAGAGTGGTCTTAGCTTGTTGTCAGAGATGTTCTGAGACTGCACAAGCTTGAAGCTGTGCCTTGCTACTTACCATCCATCATGAGAAGTGATGCTGCTGCTTTTGGGAGTCACAGTGGTGTCTTCTGGGTCCCTCTCCCAGGGATTTCCCCCCTTCTGGGCAATAACTGTATTTTGTGGTGTTCTGTAGTACTTACAAGCCTTGGGATGGCGAAGTGTCTTGCAATGGGAGACAAAACCAGCATTTCTACTGCTGTGCTGACTTCGCCTGGACTTCTTGCAGCCTCACCCAGCAATGTAATTTCATCCCCTGTCAGTTTTGGGTTACGGGAGGTGAGGGTAGGAGTAAACTTCTGTCTGCTCTGAGGCACAGCATTTTGTATAGTTCTAATTCGGTCAACCAAGGAAGATAATTACCTTGTTAACCCTTTGGAAATGACTGCTATAGCTCCCCCTGGTTTATTAAGTTAGAAGTGGTGAGTGCTGTTGCAACACAGTGCACCTTGCAAGAAGTCATTAGCTGAGAAAACATTTCTACTATACCATAAATCACTTCAGCTAGGATGCTCAGTTGAAAGAACTTAGTGTTATTTAATAAATTTGGAGGTAATAATCTTAAAACGCTTTTCAAAAATCCCTTGAGATAGTCAAGAGCCTTATTTAGTGAGCATGTTGTGTGATTTGGGCTGGGCACAGGGTGGTGTGTCCTTCTCACATTGCTGGCGAAGCATGATGCTGCTGTGAGTAAGCTGGGTAATGTTTACAGATCTGCTGGAGCAATCAAGCACTGGATAGTCGTCCTTTAATTGCCTGAGGCTTTTCTTGCTATGTGTGCTTGTTGAACAGAGTTTAGAAAATCATTTCTGGAAGTCAGTTATTTGTTTATGCTGCTGACACTGATCTGGAGAGGGATACGTCTGTGCTGTAGTGAGGAACGCAGCTTGAAGCGCTTTTTGTTCTCCAGCAGTGCGTCTGTGACCACGTGCAGCTCAGCTCACCTGATGCTGTGAGAACCTTCAGCTGTGCTGGGTTCACCTGTGCCAAAGTGCTGCTGTGTCCTTGCTGGAGTGATTGAGGCACCTGCAGGGAACCAGGAGACCCTTCTGCACCTCCTGACCAGCCAGTGTAGGAGGCTGCATAGCCCCAGGCCGTTATCTTGGCCAGGAGTTCAGCACGATTTAAGAATGAGTCAGATATTTCACAGAAACAAGGCAAGAGAGATGAGCGTGTGCTTTAAACAAACAAGGCTTTAAGGGGAGAGAGGGTCAAAAGCTTTTTGCTTAGCGTTTATGTCCTCTCTGATGTAGAGGGCTGAGGAAATGATGCTGCCTGTGCCTGCTGCAAGGCTTGCAGCACTTGTGAGCTCCTGCTGGCAGTGCCTGTCTGCTGGGAGAACCTATTCTCTCACTGCATGCAGTAATTAACAGGCTTAGGAAATTGATTCGTAATCATAAGTTTAAATGTATGTGAAGGGTTTCCTAGAAAATCTCGTTTGTTTATTGTTCCACCTTTCCTTGCTCAAGGATGTTTTCTGCTTGAGCATACTGCTCACATGCTCTAGGGTGCTTCTTTCCAACAGCATCGTGTTGGTTATGTTAGAAAGGGTTTGTCTCAACTAACTCACCCAGACGCTTTTCCCACCTGTGTGTTTCTTCAGTGATGCAGACATCCAGCAGGTGCATGGCAGAGGCCTTTCCCCTGCTGGTTGAATGTTTACTTGGGTCCTAAGTATATCTTTGGGCAATTTGTTTTGGAGCTGGGGAGCACTTTTCTCTTTTACTCTCTATAAATCCAGAGAATTTGAGCAAATGATTAACATTAACCATGTGAATATTCTCCCTGGACTCAGTTTTCAGATCGAAGGCAGTGCTCAGTATGTTGAGAGGATGAAGCCCACAACCACTAAATACAAGGAACTGATCTGCTGCTGTGCTTGTCTGCAAGCATATATGACGTGAGTGCCTGGGTTTATGTCTGTCTGCCTGCCCAAAATCCTTCTGCCAACTGCAGTCTTGATGTTCCTTATCTACAAAGTGCTTGCAAGCATTAGGAAGTCTTTGTGATGCCGCTGGGATGTGTTGTTATTCCCATTTCTCAGACAGATGCTGTGAGAACTTGGTGATCTGCTGAGGCTGCTGTGTCACTCAGAGCTGGGCATGGAATCTGCAGCTTTGCATACCTGCCCTGTAGGACAGGGAAAGCAGCAGAGTTCTGTGGCAGCACTTGGTTGAACACTGCCAGCTTTTATGCTGTAAAGCACGCTCCCCAAATTTCCATCCCACAGCCTCCAAAGTTAACACAAGGGTTTGTCGTATCATCTACTGGACCAGATTCCAATCCAAAATACAGTCCGTATGCAGGAGCTCACAATGGCCTGTCGAGGAAAAGAATGTCAAATATAACTTTTCTTTTATCTGCTCTGTCTTGCTATAAGGAGAGCTGCAGACTGGAGGTTCCTTTAACCTGAATGGTCACATCTTAGACTGGGGGGGTCGTTTCCATCTTCTCTCCTGTAGGTGCAGTGATGGTTGAGTTCTTGCTGATTTAAAAAAATATTCAGAATACCTCTATGGAGTGGAGAGCCTGAGTCTAGCATGTAAGTATAGGCACACTAGGCGTGTATGCCTATGAGCTGGCAAATGAATCCGTTTCCAGATCTCAAGTTTGCTTAGTGTTATGATGCGGAATGCTGAAAACCAAAAAACATAAAACCATGACACGCTTCTGGCTTCTTCTTTTTCTCCACGGCGTTGTTTTGCTTCGTTTCCTGAAGTTCAAGGGATTTCTCAGAAGCAAATGGGTGAATGTCAGCTGCAGAGGGCTGTGCTTTGCACCGCCACACAGCATCAGCACAGAGATGAGGGGCTGGGCGCAGCCTCTATGCTGCTCTGCCCTTGGTCAACAGATCCCTCCTGTGATGGGGAATGTCAGCGTCCTGGGGAGCTGTGGTGGCTGGGCAGGCTCACACTGCATTCAATAACCATGATGAAGGCGAAGCTCTGTGTTTTGAAGCTTTCCTTTGGGAAATGTGATTCATGAAAACATAGTATTTTGTGACTGCATTGACTAGAAGTGCTGTATAATCCAGGTGACGCATCTGAAACAATTCTTCAATCTCCTGCAGGACAGACATCTTGTATACCTGTGCATGCACAGAGGTGGGAAGGAGAGACGAGCACTGATGGGGAGCTTACTGCTGTTCCATGCTTTGTGAGAGACCCACGGTCATCCTGAGCTTCCTGTGTCTGTAATGGCATCTTTTCCTTTATCCTTCATAGGGAACCTGTGTTCTTCTCAACTAACACTATGGAATCGTAAATGACCCAATCAGCCTTCATCACTGCTCATTAGATTGGAAACTTGATTAGTTAATAGCAGACCTGTTCTTCCTTTCTGTCCCTACTGCTGCTAAGCTCATGGCATTTACGGGCAGACTTCTTAGTCATTAATATTCTTTGTATTCTTCATCTTTGGCTTCAGAAAAGAGAGCCTTTCATCTTTTGCCTTGCTTTGTTTTTCAGAAGGAGCCAATTTTGACTGGAGGAAAAAAGAAACCAAAAAACATTTATCTGTAGCTTTCTTAGAAGCTTCCA